GGTGGTGTTGCGGGGTGAGAGGTAATCGAGATAGGACTAGCGGGGTAATTGCGCGCCTTACTTTCCATTGTTGGTGCCTATTGCGCCTTCTATATATAGGATACGTGACATGTTTGTATGTGGCTTATATTCTCTCCGTCTATGTGCAGCCTTAATGCATCACCAGATACAAGTTCAAAACCAAGATAACCTGCAGACTACACTGGAAGAACATCATCGACTCGAAAGATCTAGTGTTAATGTAGGCTCCGGGGTTTTCAGTGTCCCCATTGATCAGGCCTGCAGTGCTATCACGCTCCGATGAGTCGGTCTTCACCCGAAAGATAATGTAGTTTCCCTATCGGTACCCCAACATTTCGAATGATCCCATAGGCCGTCACGTTGTGGAAGAAGCTATCAAATCTGTTAGCAACGAAGGCATGTACTCAAGAGACTCAAGACAACTTACAAGTTCGGTAGAACGAACTCCTGCAAATAGGTCAAGCCGTTCAAATCGAAATGCCACATGTTAGGCACGTCGATCGTGACGGGCATGTCTTCTTTCCCAGCGAACGCCTCGGGTTGCGCCTTCTCGAAGCATTCCAAAGCCTGCTCAATCTGTTTGTATAGATCTTGGAAAGAGGCCGCGTCGAACCCGAACGTGGGTACTTCCATACCACCAAGACGTTCAAGAGCTTTCGTGGCGGTAGTGACTTGGAAGAAGATTTGAAGGGCGAGGGGCTACAAATGCGAGTCATTAGCTATTGCTCTCCTCCAAGGATCATTAACAAGATACGTACATGCATATCTGGAGCAAGCCTAGCACTGAGGACTTTCGAGTGCGGATATCCGTTCTCATCGCACCACTGTTCACCCTTCTTCAAAACCACCAAATGGTTCTGCATTGCTTTCCGCAGCGGGGGTACGCACAGTTCGTAGAGAGGAACGGTCGACGGCATGTTGATTGTGTTGTAGATTTATCTAGGTACCCTTGAAGCCATGTGGGAGAGGGGGACTTAAGTGTACCTGCATCACCGATCACTTGAGGCGTAGGCCGGCTCGTAGAATGTCCCGCATCGACCCGATGCTAAGGCCCGAGAAGCCGTTTCGCATTCTCGGTATGATCCAATGATGCGATGTCAGTCACCGTTGTAGGCTACCACGTTTTCAACGCCTGCCAGCCCTGGCGTCCTCTTCCATGCTCCATGCTGATTCCCACGTGGTGTGGCTTGCCTTCGGATCGACGGATCGTTACAAAATATTCACAGAGATCTAGATTCATGAAGCGCATGACGCTGATGATGGGAATTGCCTCTATTGTCGGCTACAGACATCCATACGCGGAGGCCTCCCAGACTTTTGATAGTATCGCCCGCACCTTCTCCCCGATCTCGTCGTTCGTTGAGCCAGAGTTAGCTCGCTTTTGCTCCGCTTGCACTATCAGCAGCTTCTTCTGGAGATGATCCAACCCCTGCTTTACGACTATGCGGCCCACCACCTTGGATTCCTCACTGTCCAACACGAACCGGCCCACTTGAAACTTGCTGTCGCCTAACTCGACGCGACTTTCACTGTTGCCTTTCTTGATTTGGTTGTCGGTTGTCGCGTATTTTGCTTGTGCCGCGACGTAAAGTGTGCAAAGAACGTCCAGCTCATGCAAAAGAGCCATAGCGCGCATTGGGTCTGAAGAACATGTGCTGCACTCCATCATTGCACTATACAGGTTTGATAGCTTCTGATCGAGCTCCAAAACCTTCTCTAGTGTATTGTACTCTGCAGCGGGATCTTGTAGTTCGATGCCGATTGGGTTCTTGGGGAAGCATTCAGTGTTTGTCGATGATCTCCAACACATGCACTGCCTAGTCTGGTCGCTCGACAGAGGGCCCTGTATATGAAGTCAGCAAAATTGAAGTATTACACTTGGTTATTGAACGCCGTACCCTGATGTCCATATTAACAATTACAACAAATATAAGGTCGTTTAGGAAGAGGACGATTGACTTGCAAGATGGTACATATGGAGACATTCACCAAACGTGATGCTGTTATAATGTGTATCTTTCTCTCCTTTCTCTCCGTGCCAATGCTCCGATGCTCCTCCAATCGGATCATCACACGACGAGCGCGCAAACAAGAAGTAATGACTACTGTTTGGTTTCATGCGTAAAAACAGCCCTGCAGTAACAGAGAACGGGGGGTTCATTTATGAAACAGTCACTCTATCCCGAGCTCAGCTCGGCCCAGTTGTCTGTGGTTCTCACGTAGGAGCGATCAGAGGACCAATCACGCACAGCATACCGCATGTAGTAATGGGGGGTGTTGAAGCCAATACTCCGGCTATCGAAAACGATGCAGTAGTTGTGCGTGCGGGTCCTGCGGGAGATAGGCCCAGGCATCCCCAAGCAGATCACCCGGACTCAATTCTTGCCGAATACGTCGTATACCATGCAGAGCGGTTGAGACACACTGAAGACAAGACTTACAATGGACACGTGACGCAGAGCAACGAAAGTTCTTTTGCGAAATCTTCTCTACACAAGTATAGTAAGATGAATAGAGTGCGCCTTTGACTCAGACTGCGGTCTGGTCCTGGTTCGGGCTGGTCACTGAGACGGTGCTTTGGTATATGATATGATTGCGATAGCTTTGATGACAAGTAGAATAAAGGAATGATAAGATCCATATAGCTAGCGAAAAGACCTCGTAGTTCTCCGTGGGTCTATCTATTCAGAATCTCTATTTCATACGGGATCAAGATAACAGAATCCTTTCGCAAGAGCAAGTTTGTGTTTGGCGACCGGGTGCCAGCCTACTGAACCACGACGTCATGCACACTAAGTTCCAGCGCCGATCTCGGTCGGACCCACAACCCAAGACACGGAGTTCCCCGCGCGCAACGAACGCGCCACATTGAGGCCTTAGGGGGTTCAGTACTGTAAACTGCTGCGGCTGTCGCCCAGCCCAACGAAAAGGGGCGCAACGATTTCTCCAGTCCATACCCACCTAGGTAAGGTTCATTCACTTTGACCCTTTATTCATTCACCCACTTTGACCACAGCCTCGATCGCGACCGGATACTTCCAACGCTTCCAGGCACAGAGACAATGAGTACCTAAAAATACGCCAGTGTTTCGGCATCTACCCGCCATCGAGAGCAGACGCTGACAAGATCCATGCGCGACTTCGTAATTGAGATGGGCAAGGAAGCTGTGATCAAATCCCCGTCCGTACTGTTGGTAGGACCAAGATATATGCGCTGAACGAAGTTTGTTGTTCATTACAAGGGAGTGCCAGCCTTACCCGTTCGTAAGTTCGATCCCGAGGCTGCCCCCGACTCCCGTTTCACAACCACTACCCGCGACGATTGAACTTGCGACTTTCAACGGTCGAATTACGTGTTAGAGGGCTGGCGTCTCATGCCGGACCTTGCGTGAAGGAAAGGTCGGCGTAAACCAGATTGCGCGTTGGCAACCTTAGAAGTGTGAGGCTTGTCGGCACCGGACCGACTTGACCCTCACATAATACCGTATGCAGGACCGGTTGGCTGACACTAGCGAAGCAACAGCGTGTGCCGACCTTCCGCCGCCATGAGTATCCTGGTCAACTTACTCCAACGTTCATACAAGCATTGCGGAGTGGCGCCTCAGCTTATGGCTGGGGCTCTTCGACGTCATCGAAGTCTTCTCTATCAAGCCACAAGGGTTGTCTCGGCGATGGGTACGAAGTACGCACACGCAATCACAAACTTATGGTACGCCGTAGGTACACTAGCCCAACTCCCCCTTAGTCGACTGTCCGTCGGCGTGCGATGATCGACGGAAACTCCCAGAAGCGAGGCTGAAGTGTCACTGTGTCAGCCACTTCAACGCGCACAGTCTATGTCTGTGCCCTTGATCTGCATAACAGATGAGGACACCAAACTCTGGCCCCCGTCAGGCCTCAAGACAGGTCTGCTCCAACGGCGCTGCTTGTCCAGACAGGGTAGCAGAGACCTAACACGCGCTGGCTTTTACTTGCACGGCGTGCTATCGCGGAGACGGGACGTCAACATTGCATCACAGTTATTACCAGAAGATGCTTGGTGGCCGAGCAGAAATGCCGCTGTAAACGTTTGAAGACAGCTCCTCCGCCGTTCTAAGGCACCCACAGTCATAGCATGCGCACCGAATGCGAAAACTCAATTTCTGGGTTGTCGGTTCTCCTACGATGGTACGAAGTTTGTTCATACTTCTGGTCGACCATGGATCCCCAGGAGTGTACAATTACGATACCGGTTAATAGTAGTCCCCTGCCAATTTATCAAGTAAGTGAATGTCTACATGTGTATCAGATAGCATCACATAAGCTCGTGATTATCGCACTGTCAACATCACCACACTCTCGTTCCAAGTTTTTCACGTTCATCTATTCAAGGTCAACTTTCAGCTTCTACATAACCGACGTATCTCTATTCTCTTCGCGAAGCTACTATCATGGACCCAGCGCGTCCGGGAACCCGCCGGCTGCGCAACTCTTGCGATATCTGCACTCTATCGAAGCTCAAATGCAGTCGCGAAAAGCCAGTCTGCCAACGTTGCGTAGACCGTGGCTGCCAACAAGACTGCAATTACAGCGTCGCACGCCGCCCGGGAAGGCGGCGTCAAACATCTATAGTCTCAGATGACGCCGGGTCGTATGGTCAGGATGCCAGTGCCAACGGGTTACGGACAAGGCGTGGAACAGCACCGCTGACACCCTCTTCATCTTCCATGGACTCGCTCTTTTCGAAAAAGAAGCGTCACGATTCGACACGGAACACCCCCCAGCAGATCTCGAGAGAAGCAAGCGATGGAGGGGACGGGCGTTTGCTTATTATGAAGTCTCCAGGGATGGATTTGATGGAGTCGTTCACCAACATACCCATGGAACTATCACACAGTGGCGACGGAGTTGACTTTGCACCTATGGACAGTCTTTCGCTATGGGAGTGGGGTGAGAGTGGAATCGACATCAATGCAACGAATAGCCATCACCCAGGCGCCATGCCGCAGATGTGGGACATGTCGTCAGGTCAGACCATGCTCAGTGGCATGGACTTCGAACTCAGTAACGATATCGGGGGACCAGGACAGGAGCCATCACCACCACTGAGCCATACGAGCCAGCAAAACTTTTTCCAGGACAACCAAACTTCTCTTCTACCCCCAGCAGACTTCAGCAGAGATTCCAATTCCTCCTCTCCAGCTGCTTCAAATTTCATCTTCGACCTGTCCAAGGATGTGGATTGCAAATGCTCCACTCAAATCAGCCAGCTCATCTATTCTGTCAGTCTGCGGCGTGCGACAGCAGTTCCACTAGACGTTGTTTTCGCTGTGGAACAACAGCTCAGCCAGACCAAAGAAACAATCACCGCATGCGCGAACTGCTCTCTCGGCTCACCATACATGAGCATGATGCTTTGCACTGCCATGAGCTGGGTGATTGAGCATCTAGAAGCCTATATGCGCGAGGCAACAGTCAGCACGCCCAACGGCCAAATGACGTACCTGACAATCAGCGGCTTGACGCTGAGCAAAGACATGTCTCAATCGTGTTCTGAGGCATTGGTCAAACTCCGCCTCAGACGAGTGGTGCAGACAGCACGAGAGTTGTCAATGTTCAACATGGAGACGAAGAGCACGCTTTTGGATGGATTGCGATCCGCGGCAGCCGAGACTGGAGCGGCAGCGCAACAGATGTTTGGAATGTTGGAGATGAGAGGTGCATTTCAAAAATGAGAAAAGCTCGCGATTCAAGGAATGTCAGCACCAAGTGCAGGAGGAGGTAGATAACAGGAGTTCAATGGTAGCGCTGGTAGCACCTCGTGATATTTAGAGCAGATACTTCCAAATACCTTAACATCAAAGCTTTTATTATATTTGCATCACGGACTCTGATTGGCCTCCGAGCATGTGGTACTCGGTACATTTGCCTGACATTAACGCTTCGGTGATATAGATGCAATGTCCAGCTGACAGGTCAGCTTAGGCGCAAATGTGATAGACAGTAGACTGATGTAGGCGATATTCATCGCCTCGCACGTGGCCGCCGGCTCAGGAACTGTTCGCTTTCGCATGATGTAAATCGAGACTCTTCCAAGTTTGGTTTCATATGGGGAAGGGATTTCACTGCTCTTCAAGATAGGTGCATTCATGTAGAATCCCGGGAGTTTGACTGATGCGCGTAGATTTGGCTATACACCGAACAGTATTTGGGGAAACGCTCCGGGGTAATTGGATTGCTCCATCGTCTATCACTTGGGTAAACCGCACACGCACATGGCTTTGACCCGAAGTAGACTGGGCCTCATTGAATTGCGTGCCTTGCTATCTTTTGTATCTTTCGCTGAGAAAAAGAACAGCTTGCAAAAATATTCAGACAGAACCATTATAGAGCTTCCAGGCCATACCAGCGCAACCACCCAAGGTATGTCGAAGTATTCTCACTGCTGCCACGACAAAGAAGAACGCTGATCAGATCCAACAGATGCAGCTTCAATATGAGCTGTCCAACGTCTCTCTTAGCACACAGTCAATATACGCCATCGCCCTAGCTTTCGCAGCCCTCTGGGTAGTGCAGAGCTCCATCCGAGCCTGGTGGCGCCTCCGGCACATTCCCAGCGCGCACTTCACCGCGGCATTCTCCTACTTCTGGATAGGACGCACCACATACAGCGGCCGTCAATACTGGATACTCCGCGACTTGCATACCAAACGCGGTCCGCTTGTGCGCGTCGGGCCCAACGAAGTCGTCACTGATGACCCCAACATCCTGCGCACCATCTCTGCGGCGCGTAACCATTACCCTCGCAGCGATTGGTACGAAGCTGGCCGATTCAACCCGTATCACGGTAACTTGTTCACGACTACCGATCCGGCAGAGCATAAGAAAGCGAAAATGAGGTCCATGGCCGCATACAACGGGCGCGAAACTCAAGGTCTCGAGGGTTTGATCGACGACCAGGTCAAGACGCTTATCAGCGTTGTCCGAAACCGCTATGTGGTGTCTTCGCCAGGAAAGGGCCAGCCTCTGCTGGATCTAGCGGCCATCACGAAATACTTCACCATGGATGTCATCACACGGATGGGTTTCGGCAAAGCGGTTGGCTACCTCGAGGACGAAAAAGACCACTACGAATTCTTGGGCACAGTAGACGAGCTTTGGCCGAGGATGTCGACGGTGGCTGACATACGTTGGATCCGCAAGATTGCATTCTCGCCTTTCGTGCTCAGATTGGTCGGACCGAAGAGCAGCGACAAAAAGGGCTTCGGGGCACTGATGGGGTAAGTACCTGGCTGAAGTTGATTCAACTTACAGATTTCTGTTCTGGGCAACCTCACTGACTTTCGACCAGTTTCGCAGCTGATCAGGTCAGCCGTCGCTTTGCTGCACCCGATGGTGGTAAAAATCACAAGGACTTTCTGGCGAGTTTGATGGCTCGTGGCTTCACAGAGGAAGAGTGCCAATCCGAGGGCCTTTTTCTCCTACTCGCTGGAAGTGAGAGCACCGCTAACGCCATGCGCTCCATTCTCATACACACCATAAGCTCGCCCGCCGTGTATAATCGACTCTCTGCTGAGATCCGGGACGCGGTACGGACGGAGAAGGTGTCCTTCCCCATTACCTTGGAGCAGGGAAAGAAGTTGCCGTATCTGCAGGTATGTCTCATCGAGATCGCGCCCAAACGTGTTGATCTTCCCCGCTGACATATATCTCTTCCTTCCAGGCGGTCATCTACGAAGGCCTGCGCATGCGCCCGGCCATTCTCGGCCTCTTCCCAAAACAAGTACCCGCAGGCGAATATCCAATCTTCCACGGAAAGATGCTTCCCCCAGGGACCGATGTATGCATGAACATGTCAGCCCTGCTGCAGTCAACAGATCTGTTCGGCGCCGACGCGGCCGTGTTCCGACCAGAACGCTTCATGGAGGTAGGCGACGAGAGACGCAGGAAAATGGAGCAGGACGTCGACATGTCCTTTGGCTACGGAGGCTGGGTATGCGCAGGCAAGAACATCGCTATGATGGACATGGTGAAGGTGGTCTTCGAGGTATGTTCGCAGCGTGCGCGATGGTGTTGGTGTGACCGTCGCTAACCCTGGCAGATGCTTCGCGTGTTCGACTTGCAGCTTGTGCGTCCATTTGAGCCGTGCGATACGATTAGCTATGGCGTGTTCCTTGACAAGGGGTTGATGGTGAAAGTGTCAGAGAAGAAGTGAGATGGACGCGTTTCGTGTTTATCACCTGGGCAGGCGCGGCAGGCTCGGGGGCAGGCGGCTCGGAGGACTGATTGGAGGATCTGGCGGGGCCATCACCGCATGAGGCAGTTCAGCCGACGAGCCTCATCTCAATGGAGTTTGCTTCTATGAGAATATGGCTATAGGGCAACGCTAAAAACCTGTCTTTGCGCAATTTCCTGCTGCTGCACTATACCGACGCGTGCGAAATCTTTATGCTATTCGTCATCCTTTCTTGATAACACCTTCACTCTCTCCAGCGATGCAGATATGACTAATGTTTTCCTTATGTCCTCTGTCACGAATGAACATGTTCACAGCGCACTTTCTGTTATTGCCTTTCTTGAGATGCGCTTCGTCGTTTACGCATGCGAAGACAATGTCGGCGGAGTGCATGCATCATCGTTTACTCTCTGCTCGAAGCACTCAAGCATGTGCCAGACGCACGTCGGGTAGGCCTGCTAATCAGTGACGCATGCTGTTGCGAAGGCTGCAAGTAATCTCGGTCAGCAGAGAACTGTCGTGTGAAATACTCGTGTGATTATACGGTTGTGCGTAGCAAATTGAACGCACTTTAACGATCGAAAAGCAACTGGGCGGCATGGTGGACACTTTAGAAGCACGTCACAGCAGCATGGAGTCCAACGTTGTTAATTACTGCATATATTCCACTATCCAATTTCTTCCTTATCATACTCCCTTGAGTATGATACAACATGACTACCACGCTTGTGTGCGCTTCAATTTCAACGGCAAACCATCCTTGGGTTTGATAGCTGTAATACCAGCAGGTTGTGGCACATAGGTTTTATCTGCCATCTCAAACTCATAGCTACCCACAAAGGCGGAGATAAAAGCCCGTAACTCGACCTTTGCATAGCCCGCTCCAATGCACTTGCGTGGTCCATGCAAGAATGTCATGAAAGCGTAATTGGTGTGTGCATTACCATGGTTGTTCGCTCGGCCGCTGTCTTCATCAATCCAACGACCCGGTTCAAAAGTATCTGCAGTCTCTCCATAGAACGATGCAAAGCGGTTCATAGCCGCGGGAACAACCCACAGACGCGTTCCGGCTGGGATGCGCGTACCAACGATGGTGGTGTCTTCTACGGCGACGCGTGAGGTAATGGGTGAGGTGGGCATGAGACGTAGTGTCTCGTTGACGACGGCGTTGAGGACGGGGAGGGTATCAAGGGTAGCAGAGTCGCTGAACCTTTCTGCGTCGTTGTCGAAAAAGCGGTAGGGAATATGTTCGCGGATTTCGGTACGGAGTCGATCTTGCCAGGTGGGATTGGTGGCAAGTAGCCATAGAGCCCAGGTAAAAGTTGCTGAGGTAGGCTCGTATCTATGTGGCTATTAGCAGCAATTCCTATCGTCCACCAATAAACGTTGGCGACATACCCTGCACCGATGATTGTTAGAAGCTGGCCAACCAGTTCCTCGTCCGTTAGCGTTCCACTTTGTATGAGCTGCAGTAAGAGGGCTTTTTGTCCGGTGCCTTCGGCAACTTCCTTCTTTCTCTCTTCGACAAAGGCAAAACAAAGCTGTCGCAACTTATTGCGAGCGTCATCAAGGTCCCGGTTAAATTTCCGTGGGAGGAGTTGTAGCACCCAGGCCGGCAAAAAAGCGTTGGCTATGAACAAGTGACGAACGCTCTCTTTGCTGCCAGTCAACAGCTCATACAACTCCGTGAGCTCATTCGGTTGCCGTAGTGTGTCGAAGTCTTTGCCCAATGCAGCGAGACCGATAGCATCGAGAGTACCTTTATTACCCCACGGCAGAACATCCACCACGGTATGCTTTGCGTCAGCTGAGGCGGTAGACCGTTCCATTGTTTCCACCATATCAATGGCCTTTGACCAGAAAACGGGGCAAAGATCTTGAACTGTTCGATGATTGAATGCCGGCTGAATGCGTTTACGAAGATATTTGTGCTCATCGCCTTCCAAGATGAGGAGAGACGGCCCCAGAATTCGGCTCATTAGCCGTCGAGACACCGCTGGCTTGGAGAATGAGTACGCGCGACGAACCAGCACCTCAGAAAGGGCCTCGTTGCTGACCACTAGGACATGGTTGACGTTCATAAATCCGCGGAAGTGGATCAGACCCTGGTTGGGTACCGAGTTTGCCATGTCCAAATAGGCTTGTCCACGGGGGTTGGTGAATTGAAGGAGCCCATGGCCTAAGAAAGGTAGTCCACCCTGTAGCAACACTGTCAGTTATGCACCAAGCATTTCATGGTAATATCTCACTTTTGCTGTGGGAAGATGTCGAAACGGGTTGAAAAGACGGGGGTGGATTTCGACCTTGTACACCAGATAGATCACATAAACCACAGCCAGCGTCGCACAGAGCGCTGGTAAGGACAATGGAATCGAGGCAAATCGAGAGGAGATCAGTTCTGTATACATGGCGAAGGTATCAAATGGTGTAGAAACCGTGACACGAAATGTAGGATATGTACACAGATTACGCCTGCGATTCTTACTGCGAATGACGTCTGTTTTGCTAGGACAAGCTTTCAGTTTGTTTTGTCCAACATCAATGTTATCGTTCCTGCGCCGGCTCAGAAAAGAGTTCTAGGCTCAGAAGTATCGCGAGGCAGATAAGGCGCGATCGTTGGCGAACGGCTGACGTTGGTGAGGCTGGTCGGGCCAGATGCGGGTGGTAGGCTGGAGGCAATCGCCCGGAATTATGCAACCCAAAACCCCGATGGGATGAAGAGAACCACCCGACAACGGCGTGATTACATTCTCACCGTAACGCGATGATTTTGCGCCAGCTCAACTGTACCAGTTTCGTGCTAGCCTGCTGCAGCGCAAGTTGATATCGTAGTCGTGGGCGGTGTAGGCAAGCGAAGGAGAAGTAGAAGTTGAAGAGCACCCCATATCTTGATAAAGTCATTTATCTTATATATCCCACTGTCAGCTCAACTGCTATCATTTCTCCAAATTTTGCTCCAGAAGAATAACCAGCTGAAACATGATGGAGATGCAAGAGAAACTTTTCATCAACAACGAGGTGAGGACGGAGACAGTACAAGATATGTCGCGGTATGGAAGCTAATAACCAAATGCAGTACGTCGCATCGCATACTAGCGAGAGGCTCACGGTGCACAACCCGTACGATGGAAGTCTTGTTTCAGACAAGATCGAAGTAGCGCTAGAAAAGGATGTCGACTTGGCTGTGTCGGCAGCACAGGCGGCGTTCCCAACATGGCAGGCAATGACAGGCGTACAGCGTAGTGCGCTTATGCTCAAGTACGCCGATCTGGTCGAGAAGCATACTCAACAGATAGCCCAGCTCGAGTCGCAGTGTATGGGAGCGCCCATGATGCTGGCGACGAGGGTGGTGGGGAACCATGTGGCCGCTTTCCGTTATTACGCAGGTTTGACAGATAAAATCGGTGGCACTACTTACGCCGAAGATGGCGATGGCTTCTTCAAGATGGTGTTGCAGGAGGCGATTGGAGTATGCGCAGGCATCGGAGCGTGGAATGCGACGCCCATCTTTTCGGCGTTGAAGGTGAGAATGCCGCCCATGTTCATTCTTCCTGGCGATTGCTGACTGGAGTGCAACAGATCGCACCCGCTATCGCAGCAGGTAACACATTTGTGTTCAAGGCGTCAGAGAAGTCGCCGCTGGGCGCGTTGTACCTTGGACAACTGTTCTGCGAGGCTGGCTTTCCCCCCGGTGTAGTGAACTTGGTATCCGGTGGGCCAGCGACGGGCGCTCTCCTCGCCTCGCACATGGGCATTCGCAAAATCTCCTACACAGGCTCGGTCAGCGGCGGCCGCGCAGTACAGCATGCAGCCACAAAGAGCAACCTGAAGCAAGTCACACTTGAGCTGGGAGGCAAGTCGGCAGCACTTGTCTTTGACGATGCCCACCTCGAAACCGCCATTTCGCACTGCTCGCAGACATTCGCCCTCAATGGTGCCCAGGTGTGCTCCGCAGCCTCGCGAGCGCTTGTCCACCGCGACATCGCCGATGCCTTCATTGCGGGCATCAGCACCGCCTTTAAGCAGTTGGCTGCAGCCCACGGCGCGCCGGCGGAAGCCTTCTTTGGCCCCTTGGTTGACAAGCAGCACCGTCAGCGAGTGCAGGCCTTCGTGGATGCTGCCCGTGACGAGGGTGTCAAGGTAGTCGCAGGCGAGGTGCCTGACCACCCCACCGCCCTATTCATGCCGCCGACGGTTCTGATCGATCCGCCAACCAACAGTCGCGCATACCGCGAGGAGATCTTCGGGCCTGTCCTGGCTGTGAAGACCTTTTCCACAGAGGAGGAGGGTCTTGCACTTGCCAACGATTCCTCCTACGGGCTCGCCGCTGCTGTCTTCACCTCAAGTATGCCGCGTGCTCTGCGTGTAACCCGCGCTCTCCATGTTGGCATGGTGGGAGTCAACAGCCCGGTCCTGCCCTTGAGCCAGCTGCCATGGGGCGGGTGTAAGGAGAGTGGCTACGGGCGCGAGGGCGGGATGGCTGGTCTGGAAGAGTATCTGCAGTCCAAGACGGTCATGATCAGCATGAAGGACCCAACTTCCGCCAAATAGATTAGTTCGTAGCGTTATAGCTCTAGCAATCACACTCCTTACAACTTCTCGTTCGGCGTACTGCTCCTGACCTTTGCGTGAAGTAAGACCAGAAGCTAAGTGCGAAGCTGGCTCCGTTTTATCGTGCACTCAACTGACAGGAGAAGCCCTCTGGTCTTGTTCCGCGCTCGTGGCGTACGTATACGGGAGCAAAGCACATGGCCAAAGTGGGATCGTTGTAGAGCACCGCAGATGCTGATTCAATCTGAGAGCATTGAAAGGCATAGATGTGCACAGAAAAGCGTTGGCGGCGTACTGACTGCGTGAATGTTCGCATCAAGAGGTGCAGCGTGCCAAGTCTCGGACCTTCGCTAGCCGAAGTGGTCAAAGCTCTCAAATCGCCAGCCATCCGCAACATTCCTACAAACACCAACCTTCACATATCGAGGTTTATCGAGATGAAAACATTACAACACATGGATTGAACTTTTTGATATATGCCGTCTGAATTCCTCACCCGTGTAGAGTACCACTAGATGCCTGCCCGTTCCTGGAACCGAATGTACAAATCGGGTCGGTTCAAAGTCTGAAACGATCTCAGAAGCCCGAAATGAGGATCCATACTCCACAGGCGATTCTTCTCACCTTCCATTCCCTCGGTCTCCAATCCGAAGTCAAAAGACCAAAGTAGATGTGCGATGGTCAATCGAATTTCGAAGTAGGCCAGATTCTGGCCTATGCAAAGTCTGGGCCCGGCCCCAAACGGCGCGGACGCAGACAGCTTGTCGTCTTCAAAAGCTGGGTCCCAGCCCTCGTCGGGGTTATTGCGCAGCCATCGCTCGGGGTGAAATTCATTGGGCAGATGGAAGTTACGCTCAGAGCGTACTGACGCCCATGGCGACGTGGAGACTGCCGTACCTCCCGGGACTACAAGCGGACCGATCTGCGCACCCTGCGCCGGGGTTTCGCGTGGAAGACTTGAGCTGACTGGTGGGAAGACACGCAACGCTTCTTTGATGCACGCATCAAAATACACCAAGTCTTCCAACCTTTGTAGTGTAATGTCACTTGGGTCTGCGAAGGTGGTACGGATGAGGGTAGCGAGGCGCTGATGGATGTCGCGATGGGTGCTGAGAACCCACATGAAACTGACGAGAAGGGAGGAAGTAGTTTCGGAGCCGGCAACGATGAGGGCCATCATGTCGAGGTAAAGCTCGGTTGGCGAGAGGGACTTTCGGGCGTCCTGGTTGCGTTGATAGTGGTAAACTATGTCTTTATGGTCAGACTTTTCGTCGGCAAGACCTGGCTCACTGTTAGCTGACTTTGTCTCTGTAGATGTATGGCGACGGCCTACGCTCGAGAGTCCTTTTCTTCGCGTTCACGAAGGAAATCATCCTCCACTTCATTGCTTCCTTCGGCATAAGTTTGAGCGCGATACGGTTGAGCAGTGTACCCACTCCCGCGACTCTCCGGACGGCCATGTCCAAGTTCGAAGTAACAAGAACTTTCGTCGTTGCCTCTGCCCATTCAGTGGCAACACCACTGTCCAAGCAGTGGAACGACTCGCCGAAGCATATATCGCCGATAATATCGAATGTTGTAAAGGATACTATGCTTCGTTAGATCATGTTACTGTCCCCAATGACAAGTCATATGGGAGAGGAACTTACACCAATCGGCCATGTTCAAGGCTTTGCCGTTCTTTCCTCGTGTCTTGATGACGTGCACCAATTTGGATATCTGAGTCTCGAGTATCTCCTGCTGTGACACGAGTGCAGGCTTCGTGAAGCCAACTGCCATTCCACGTCGGTGTCTCTGGTGCTCAGCCCCCTTTGAGAGCCCGATCCCGATACAGCCATCGACGGGTGTTGCAATGCCAATGAAAATTGGTGACTTCTCCAACGCTTTGCCATGCTAAACCAATCTGTTAGCCGAGACTGCACTACATATATAGGCGCTGCTGGATGGACTTGCGCGAAAACCGTATATCTGCTCAGCTCCATATGGCTCGGCAAAGCTCAACTCATTCGGGGAGGTCCGAACGATTGGTCCGTATTTCTCATGCAACTTGTAGTTGTACAAGTGTTGAACACCACGGAAGACTGCGAATGCGCTCGGGATATTCGACACGCTGTTGAGCCATGGTCCTGGATATTTCCTCAAAGGATGCATCCATTGTCGATAAACAGCTGGCCCTATGACAGACACTAAGATCTTCAGGCACGAGTCAGTGTTTGTCCTATGCGTTGGCGCATGTGTAGCTCACCACCAACAAAATGGTCCACCCCGCAAATGGGTTGTGCGAGAGGGCGAGTTCGAGCACAGCCATCACGCGAGTAGGATGCTATGGTGGAGAGCTCTTTGGCGAAGGAGAATGGAAGTGACAGGAATCTGAGTGGAAGAATCTGGGAGTTCCTTGTCAGTATTCTCTTTGGTGGTTTTGAAGTGGATCGACGTGCGTCAGAGAACACTAAGGAGGGTCAACGGCACATATACCAACTGTGCTATTGATAGCAAAACGTCGTCAACTTAGTAGATCACAATGAACCGAATTGATTGATGCCGGAGTGCGCGGATGCAACGGTTGATACTACGTCATAACGGGGGAGAGGTTGACATAATATCCCGCGGCCTTATTCAAGGTGGGATTTGGGTTTCGGGTCATTCACCATCAGATCTGACCCCGCGCATGAGTCGCAGATGGGCGATTGACGAAACGATGAGTACGCGATTGAGTTGTGCATCGACAACGACATATGCCACGAAGATACCAAAATTGGCCAGGTATACTCTGGTATAAAGGCAGTATGCCACAAAGTGATCATAATTTCACACCACTACAACCCTTCGCAGCACTCAATCCTTACATCGATAAAACTATTCAATATCACCATGTCTGCCTTCCCAACCAAAGTTCTGGCTAACGTCATTGGCTTTGGAATCGTTTGGACCGGGGTCTTGATGTTGCAGGTACGTTCACCACAACATTACTAAACATGAAGTACAGTGCTAACTCGAACACAGCGATTTCGTTCCCAAGGGAAACAAGACCTCCTTCCCATCGATGATCAGAAACCCAAACAACACTCTGACCAGGCGACTCATAACAAAACCCATGTTGTCAATGAGCGCTGGTACTACCCACCCGACATCGCGGATGACTTGAAAGATATCGACCTTCCGTTCCGAGTTAAAGAAGAGATCTACGCAACGGCTTGGGAATACACTCGCTGTGTTATTCCTGAATACACCAACTGGTCCCGATATGTTGCCTTCATGCGCATCATCGTGATGGGCATCATTGCGGAATTCAAGGGTGATCTCATGGACGTTGCCAACGACGACAATGTCGTTGGTTACAGTCTTACCGGAGTATTGGACACCTTGTGCGGAGGCACAGCAGGAGGGTATGTCTCACCATCTGGCACCGTGGACTTACCAAGTTTTCTTTGCTAACATAACCCCGTCTTCAGTGAAGAAATGTGCCGCGAGTACCGCTGCTTCCTCTTGATGTCGTCGCAAAAGTCTCGCCACCAGACAAACACTATGCTGTTCCGCCGTTACAGTGTCGCTCTATCGAAGGGCCCTTGGCAATTCTTCCGCATGCGCGATACCGATGCGCTCGCCCGCTTCACCATCGGTGTAGCGCTAGTCTGCAACGATCTCGACCACATCTGGTTCACTGAAGAGCAATTCGACATTATGGCCGAAATTGGTAATACCATGTACGACGGTATCTCTTACTGGAAGCATCGTTCCGAGGGAGAGATCAACAGCACCTTCGCATATGTCCCAGAGGAGAAGCGCGTCTTGGCATACCACAAGTGCCGCGAGGCGCTCTGGGCTTTGGATGTAGCGTGGGCGAGACAACCCGAGATGAAGTGTGTCATCAACTTTCTCCGGTATTTCGGTGGCCCAATCCACATGATCATGCGACGATACCGCTTTGTGGAAGAGGGTCTGACCCTAGGCCGACCCGAGGACCAGCGCGTCATTCAACAGACACGGAGCAACGTCAAGCTCTGGAATAGGCTTGACGAGCAGAAAAAGGCGAAGGAGCAAGAGAAGATGAGCGTCGAGCAGTACCGTCACGTTCTCGCTAACGAGAAGGTCTTGTTGTTTAACGGTCTCGCGCCTATGCTGGACAAAGCCGAGCTGGGTCTGTGCAACAAGTGCAGCTACCGTGAGACATATGGTGCCCCACAGGCCCATACCTTTGGCGGAGTCGTTCTGTGCGATGAATGCCAGCAGGGGTGGGCCGATTGGACGGAAACCGTGCTACAGCGCATGGTCAGAGCCTTCCCGGAGGCTGCTGAGACTGTCCGTGTTAGTGAGATGCGATCGAGGTCCTCAATCGCACCGTGAGCATTGCACTCGGATTTTGAAGAGCTGGTGGTGTGTTGGAATACCACAGGGCGGCGCGCTGTTTATCTAGATCGTATATGTGGAGACGAGATGCATTCCCTTGTTCGTTGTTTACTCTGGCGGTGTTGAGGAGCCAGGCGGAAGGACCTCGGGAGTCGAAATGGTGGGAATTGGCGATGTAGCCACGCTTTGATATCAGGCCGGTTCTGTTTGTATAGATAGTAGCGAAATGAACATTGTCCCCGTACGAATGTTTCCCTCAACAGTTCTCCACTAAGCAGAGTCAAATTTCGCTCTTGCTGTCCAGGCCAGAAGATCTCGAGTACTACTGTGGTCGGTGACAGCATGTCCGCAGTGATATAGCGAAGAAGAGAATACACTTCTGAGCGAAATAGGGCGTGGCCTTGGTTCAGTCTGTGTATCGGAACTGTAGCTTGGTATGCGAGACGATTGTGACAGGTTTGGGATGGTTCGCTAGAGTGCCGTCTGATGTGTCACCCAGATGTAAAGTGGTCTGCATGCCATTTGAGCGTACAAAATGTATTGCAAAGTAATGCGCGAATCATGCGACAGCAGTTGCAAGTTTGCAAGTGCAGTATTAATGTGAGGAGGTGGTTCATGCTGGGGGCTGCTGCTCCGGGCAGTTGAGTGTCTTGCGGCGGCCTCATTGGGGCGGCGCTCCTTGCCGAGAGCAGGCTGGGTGGGCCCACCTGGGCAGGCCCGGGCGCTATGGGACACATTCCAACACCCAACTTCGCATCTTCCCAACCATTGATACCAACCGCTGTCTTCAGCTCGCCGATGCATTCTGCTCTAAAGACTACTGGAGAAGATGTACATGTCACTCGGCGCATCCTCATCGCCGCCTCAGTGCATATGTCTCATCAACCTCACGGAAACTCACACTCATTCCGCGGTGCGCACGTCAAGAAAGCTCAGTACACAGCAAACACTTCATATTACTACTATCTAATCCCACTTCTCTATGCCAGGCAGCAGATAAGATAGGCCCCAACGACAAAACGATACAGCAGCTCTCCAACATTCCCCTCCTCAAACATCTTGATACACTTCGCAACCCCCCAATGCCGGATCAGACGCAAACGCCTCGAAAACATCCTCACCGACATTCAAGAACAAGTTGAGCCCGTTCTTATACCAAGCATTACCAACCGGCTCACCATTGGGCACGGCCTCTGTCAAGACAAAGAGGTTAGGTATGGAGGACGACGGGATATAAAAGGACGGGCTGAGCGGTCCAAGACGAAACTTCTCGTAACCCAAGTGCGCGACCGAGCTAAAGATAAGGTGTTCGTCACCACCTTTGAACGCAAAGGTGCGCGAAGGGCTGTCTTTGAAAGTCGCGTCGTAGGTGATTGCATGCATTGCGTTGTCGTCGTACTGACCGAGGGTCTCCGTGACCTTGATGGCGAGGTTGATGGGATCTGTGGCGTTGTCGGGCTTGCTCTCGGCATCAGGAGAGATCATGACATTGACGTATGGGGACCCCAGTAGTCCGTCGCGTACGCCTAGTAGCCAGCGGAAGCTGCTCGACAGATGTAGATCGACTGGCGGCCGTTGGACACGACCGCGAGCCCGATTGAGACAGGCCCAGAAGAAGCCAATCAGCACTGCCTGATCGGTCAGGCGCATTGAACCTTTAGACTGTAGTTCTTTGACCTTGTGCTCGACCTCCGTGGCTGGTATGTGCAAGAGGTAGTTGTATATGGTCTCCGGTTCTAGCGTCTGCGTGGCACCTGAGCTATTTGGCTTCAGTGTACGGCGGTACGGGCCTCGTGTGGGAAGTTCCTGAGCTTTTTTAAGGAGCGCAGGGCCATATTCCTCTAGGTCGATCTCAGCAAGTTGCTCGCTGAAAATCTCTGGCTGCCATGATGGCGGGTTCTGGGGCCTATCGTTTTCGCCGTGGAACATTTGCCCGTAGTTCACCGACCAGCTTTCTAGAAACTTTGCCGCCGTATAACCGTCAGCCAGGCCATGTTCAAAGTCGATGCCAAGACTGAATCCACCGCATGCGAACGCCGTGAACTGGACCTGAATGCCAGGAGGCTGAGGGGAGGGCGCCGGAAACAGGGCTCGGACAGAGGAGGGTGTGTAGTCCCATAAGAGTGTCGACTCGTTCAGAGGAGCAGGTGGAAGTAAGCTGCGAATGCGCGACTTCGTGCTCGCTTCAATGAACGATACCGCCTTGTCGCTGGAACTACCCCAGCTGACAGTGGTTCGCTGGTACTCTTGATCGCCCTGCTCCGCATTTGGTGTTGCGCCAGTTTCCAAAGTTCCAACAAAACGTGGGTAGATATCAAGTGTTTTGGAGAGACTCGCAGTAAGGCGCGCTACGAGGTCTTGCGGCAGCTGCTTCGGTTTCTTGAAGAGGTATATCGTTGGTACCGTACGACGGTAGGCGTACCATGCATCCAAGATTGGCAAATTCGCAGACTGTCGTGATAACTTCTCGTAGCCCTGGGGCCAGATCTCGTGTACTTTGACAATGTCGACTTTCATTTTTGCGTATGACGAAATTTGATAGAACGATTACACTCCGCCAATAGAGCAAGATGAGATAATGACAGATAATCCCAGTAATGATTAAGAGATACCACAATTACCAACGTTGTGGGTGTTGGCCCTTGCGCGGTGAGAACAGTCGCCAATTCCCCGTATGCCCCGATGACGTCCGGCTTGCTCTGTACTTCACGGATTTATCCCGAATATCCCATGCGACAATGAAAACTATCGGGCCAGTTGAAAAGATGACCCTAAACGCCGTATCACATTAGGTTCAACTTCCAGATCATGCGCCGCAAGAAAGAACCTGTGAGAACTTGCAACTACCCGGACGTCCACTTGATCACGTGACAGTGATCTATCCCAGGTCAACAACAACATCCCGGTGTCGTCATCGATGAACGCGCAACGTTTTATCCATAGTTTCGGGTCGTGAAAGAGTTCGACTCGATGCAAAGGCAGCATCGCGATGGCGGGTTAGCGATGTTTAAGCCGGGAGCCTACGTAGTCGTCCGTCCACGCCTGATTACCTTTTGCAACAAATAGCAATATATGCCTAAGCCTACCTCTTGACGCTTCTCTTTCTTGTCTCATTGATATTCACAACCACGATACCCATCACCCGCCTTTTCATAATGCCGCTCTACTACACAGACACCACGCCCACGAACGGCATTCCGGACATGAACGGCGTGCCTTCAGATGCTCCTCCACAACCTAAATCTGATGATATGTCGAATGCGATAGCGATAGTTGGCATCAGCTGCAAGTTCGGAGGGTCAGCATCCAACCTCGATGGTCTATGGCACACATTATCCAGCGGCGAGAGCTGCTGGTCGCCAGTTCCCAAGAGTCGCTTCGACATTAGCAAGACATCGCATCCCGACTCTCAGCGGACAGACAGTGTAAGTGTCCTCAAGCACCTCAAAACCATGGGTAGTAGCTGATTATGTACGTGAAGCTTCATGTAAAGGGCGGCTTCTTCATCGAGGACGATTTGACAGAGTTCGACGCGCCTTTCTTCAACCTGACGGCGGAGGTCGCAAAGTCCATGGACCCGCAGCTGAGACTGATGTTGGAAGGAGTATACAATGCGACTGAGAGTGGTAAGCTAGCAACCCGATTCCCCTGAATCGCTGTCTTGCCAGAGCTAACAGAATGACAGCGGGTCTTCCCATCGAGAAGCTTTCCGGCTCGAACACCTCCGTGTATTCTGCAACCTTCGGCAGAGACTATGCCGAGATGTTGATGAAAGATGCGGACTCAATGCCCACATCTCTCGTCACTGGAAACGGTCCAGCCATGTTCGCCAACCGTGTTTCACATTTCTACAACCTGATGGGACCCAGTGTCACCGTCGACACGGGATGTTCAGGTGGTCTAGTAGCCCTGCACATGGGTGTCAACAGCATCCGGAATCAGGAATCAGAAGTTTCCATTATTGGAGCCTCCAACGCAATATTGAACCAAGACTTCTACATCGCCATCTCGAATCTGGGTCTTCTACACGAAGATGGAAAATGCTATTCCATGGATCATCGTTTCGGTGGTTACGGCAGGGGCGAGGGTATGGCCGTATTAGTTTTGAAGAAGTACTCCGCGGCAGTCAGGGATGGCGACCACATCCACGCTTTGATCCGCGAGTCTGCTGTCAATCAGGACGGCAGAACCGGAACGATAACGTCTCCCTCCATGGACGCGCAACAGCAGCTCATCAAGCAATGCTATAGCCGGGCAGGAATCGACCTCTCATCAACAGGCTACGTGGAGGCCCACGGCACAGGAACCGGGGGTGACGCTATTGAAGCCGAGGCCTTAGCATTGACCTTCGGTAACTCAAGAGAGAAGTTTGACCCCATCTGGGTCGGCTCTGTCAAGAGTAACATCGGCCACACTGAACCTGTTAGCGGGCTAGCAGCAGTCATCAAAGCAGCTCTCATACTACGCCACAAGCAAATACCTGCAAACCCTACCTTCGAGAAAGCCAATCCGAACATACCACTAGAGGATTGGAAGCTTCAGGTACCGACAGAGCTGACGCCATGGCCAAAGGACAAGCCGTTCAGGGTATCTGTCAACAACTTTGGTTATGGTGGAACCAATGCACATGTCATCCTCGATGCGCCCCCGAGCCCTGGCGAACAACGTCGCTTCGCACTCCAGAATGGCAACGGCGAGATCGCCAATGGACATGCGAGCACCAACGGACACGCCAGCACTAATGGACATGCCGACACCAACGGGCACCCAAATACCAATGGCCATGCCCTCAGCAACGGCCATGCGAGCAATGGGGTTGATCAACCTTCCGACAGCTCCACCGACCCGTCGTCTCTAGTCTACATGTTGAGCGCCAAAGAAGAAGCCGGCGCAGTCACACGATGCAAAGACCTAGCAAAGTATATCCGCAACGCCCTGCAGGAGGGTAATGCCCCAGCGCCCAACGATCTAGCCTACACGCTTTCCGAGCGCAGATCGAGGTTCCCATGGACCGTCGCCGTCAAGGCCCGCAGTCTAGAGCAACTAGCCGATGCTCTCGAAGACAGCCGCTTGAAGCCGACCCGCGCATCGTCTGCGCCAGTCCGTATAGGCTATGTCTTCAACGGTCAGGGTGCACAATGGTACGCCATGGGCCGTGAGCTCATGACCTCATCTGAGGTGTTCAGCTCATCTATCGATCAAGCTGAGGCCCACTTGCGAGAATTTGGTGCGCTTTGGTCGTTGAGAGAAGAGCTCTCGCGTGATGCGAAGACTACCAAGGTCGCGGAGATTGAGCTTAGTCAACCGCTCAGTGTCGTTGTTCAGCTGTGCTTGGTTGACTTGCTGCGGTCCTGGAATGTTGTTCCTTCCGCTGTCGTCAGTCACTCGAGTGGTGAGATTGCGGCAGCATACGCGGCGGGCGTGCTTTCGTTCAAGGAAGCTGTTGGCGTCGTATATCACCGTGGACGACTTGCTAAGAAGTATCAGAAGATCACAAAACTATCGGGCGGCATGATGGCCGTTGGTCTCGGTGCTGAAGAAGCCCGAGAGTACCTGACTGATCTCTCTTCTGATGGTAAGGTGGTAGTCGCCTGTGTCAACAGTCCATCCAGTGTCACGATCTCTGGTGACATGGACGCCCTGGAAGAAGTCGCAGATCGTTTGGCAGAAGATGATGTCTTCGCACGGAAGCTGAAGGTCCCTCTCGCCTATCACTCTCATCACATGGAGCATATGGCGGAGGAGTACCAGAGTTGCCTCGAGGAACTTCTAGGACCAATCACAGAAGGCGAGCTCGACGTCGCTTTTGCATCTCCAGTGACGGGTGGCATTGTCACTTCACGTTCCACTTTTGAGGCTGCACACTGGGTGCGCAATCTCACTAGTCCCGTCCTGTTCTCAAACGCGTTGGAAGCGTTGATCTTGGATTCGACAAAGCCTGAGGGTGAAGCGCCAACACCGAATCGCCAGGTCTCCGTCTTCTTGGAAATTGGAGCGCACGACACCTTGTCAGGTCCCGTCAGACAAACGCTCGGCGAGACACGCATGCCGTACCTCTCTTGTCTGAAGCGACCTTTAAATGCGATTGACACCGTGCAAGACGTCGTCTGTGCCCTTGTGGCGCGAGGCTACTCTGTCCATCTCACAGCTGTGAACAAACCCCAGTCGAACATCTCACATCAGTCAAAGTATATCCATGACCTCCCGGAATATCCTTGGAACCATCAGACCTCCTACAAGATCGAGCCAAGGGCTTCTGAAGAGCATCGATACAAGCGCTTCAAGCCCCATGAGTTGCTTGGTAGAGCCATTCCTGGATCGAATCCTTTGACTCCGACCTGGCGCAACTTCCTCAGGACAAATGACATTCCTTGGCTAGTCGACCATCAATTGGAATCAAGTGTGGTCCTTCCTGGCGCAGGATATGTGTCAATGGCCATCGAAGCAATGCGCCTTCTCAAGAGCAAGCCTGACCAAGAGGTACCTCAGTTGCAGTATCATTTGCGAGATGTGGACATCATCAATGCTCTCATTATACCACAAACGTCGAGTGCCTCGAACAGAGGAACAGAGATCCAGTTCTCGCTCCGTCCTTGCAACGACAAGGACCTGGACAACGCTGGTTGGTACGAATTTGAGTTGTGGTCGGTCAGCGCCAAGCACGCTTGGATACAGCACTGCAAGGGCTGCATCACAGCTAGATCAGACCACGGCGTGCATTTACTAGAGGATGTCAGGGCTTCTCTTGGCTCTGTACTGTCCCACCAAAAGGACACCAAGGAGATCGAGCCCGAGAACCTGTACCAAAGGTTGCGAGATTCGGGCTTCCACCACGGACCAACATTCCAGAACATTGTTGGGAGTCGCGTTCTTCGTGAACGATCGGAGACCGAATTCTCTATCGCTCCAGCGGCCTTTGAACGCGAACAGCAATACGTAATACACCCAACGACACTGGACTCGATCTTCCAATGCTGTTACGCGACCCTACCCGCCGACCTGACGAAGGATGCAATGTTCATACCTCGCTCGATCCGGAAGGTGATCGTGCCTTCCCAGCTCGGTACGCATGCGGACCAGCGGTTGCTCGCAAGCCTGGACTGCCTGTCATCAGGCACCAAAGGTTCAATCTTCACAGGCTCAGTGTTTCCCACAGGAGATGATGCGCACCAAACGGGATCATTCGAGATGCAGAACTTCCGTCTCCAGCGTGTTACCCAGGCGGCTACGCATGCGCAAGATGCGAAGTCAGCGCATCCCGCGATCCATTCCAAGAGCCGATGGGAACTCGACATCCACTACGCTATCCCAGATGATATCAAAGACTCGATGAGGATTCCCCTAACCCAGTCTGAACTCGACTTTGCACAGGACGTCCGCGAAATATCTTACCACCATATTTCCCGAACTCTGGAGCAGCTGGGACCGAAGGCGGACGACCAATGGACTTGGTATCACAAGAGGTTCTACGAGTGGATGAACTCCATCATCCTGTCGGCCGACAAAGGTACACTCAT